TCCTCGGAAACGCCGGCTTACAGAAGGAAACTTTGTATTTTCTCATCTTTTTCCACTATAGCCCCAAATAAAGGAGTGAATTGGAAGGGGGGGGGAAGACTTCGCTAGATATAACTTCGTTAGATGGCACTAGGATCCAGAAGATGTCTATCTTTCATTCCCTTATCCTAGTCTCACCATCTACCTACATCTGTTTCCTTCTGTTTCATTCCATGTTATTGCTAACGAGGAAACGTCAGAACATGGGTACCAATAGCTACACTTTCGCCGTTACCAAACGTAACAACTCCCTCCGTTAAAAGAATAGAAAAGTACTACAATTATTCTGTTAAAGATAAGGTAAAGCTGTCCCTGTGCTCAACTAATTAAGCACTAAGCCATGAAGGCGTATGGGGGAGTGGATGTATAGATCAATATTTTCTTGACCTCGGCACAAGTTGGAGGTGAGTGATCACATTCACGCCCCGGCTGCTTTACCCCCGGGAAAGAACCTCAGGTACCCATTGTATAGGAGGTTCGATGGACTCCAAAGCCGGTCTGGATGATTGGTGAAGTGAAAATTTTTGACCCTACCGAGACTCGAACACCAACCCCTTGATTGTCCAGCTTGTAGCCAGTCGCTGTACCGACTATGTCATCCCGGCTCCTAATTATTCTATTATATTACGAAAGGTTTATCATTACGATTCATTATGTGATGCCATGTATCGCGTAAGTAAGTAAAAAAGTAAAGCTATCCCTGTACGAGACCGTGAAGGCCCATAGGGTTGTGAGATGTTGAGGCTCCCACATTACCTAGACAATCGGCTCAAAGATGGCGGTAAGGTTCTCAGCCTTACGCGCCGGCCGTGCTTTACTCCCCAGGAAAATTATTTAATTAATTCCTGGTACGCATTTCTGTTAGAGGCTGAGTATACCTCAGGGCCTAGTGCGGCTGGAAGGATTACGTCAACTGAAAAAAATCCAATGAAGTTGTCGGGATTTGAACCCGCGACCTTCCGGCTTGTAGCATAGCACGTCAACCACTACATCGCGTATAAATAGAAAACATATTTCATAGCTTGCAACTTAATCTGAGAATCTGAAAGCCAGAATCTTACTAGTATGAATTTGTCGAAAACCTTTCCCCGTCCGTCAAACACAAGTCTGTAAATTTAAGACGGATCTCAGGATATATTTCTTGTCTCCTTAAAATGTGATACCATTTAAGGCGATTATCCCGTCAGACTCCGGATAAAAGCGTCAAGACAAATTTGCCTTAAAAAGGAGCAGGGGCGATTAACTACAAACACTAATCATGCAGCTGACGTCAGAAATGAATTCCCTGAATTAGTTTATCTTAAGAATACAAACTGCAAATGTACCACGCGCCAGTTGTATGATACTGCTGTTTCGCTTAAGAGAATACCCCATATTGAGCGGCCATACTTGTTATGGACGCTGATTGATTCTTAGTTTGTTTTACGATGCTTTCCAACTGCCCAGATTACGTTGCATCGAATGGAATTATGATTTATGTATGCTGGATTTGGAGAGAACATTTATGAAAACGACGATAACTTATTTCGATGTACTCTTCGAACGTTTACTTGGAGGGATTTGCAGCAGGGTTGCCTAATTTATTATGTAATAAATCTTTAATGACTACATTCTAAAGATTTCTGATGATGGTGGATGACACACAGAATCTGGATTGAGATTAGCACTTTCTAAGGGGTCCAACTGAGTAGGTGTCTTCCTTTGTCACCTGAAGACGGAAACAGATCCAGTCTCCGAAACGTCGTGTTCCGGACGATGGAAAAAGTCCCCAAACCCAATAATTCTGTGTACCTGTAATGGCATCTCTAATTACAGATTATGAGACGGTTTTATTATAAAATTATTTAGAAACTGAGGAAGAACTGTTGTGGTCCCTTTTGTGTATTATCCTATAATTGGAGTAGAGAGACCGCAGAAACACGCGGAAGCCCTAGCGACGACGTAATCGAATATCCTATCTGACAGAATAACGTGATATACTGTAACAGTTGGTTAATTAGAAACTTAACAACTTATCACATGCACGATATTTCTTTTGAAAAAAGAATGTTTTTTCCTTGAATTTCAATCCAGTTCACTCAGCTTTCTTTCCTACAACGACGCGTCGAGGACACATGTGAGTATAGCACGTTCGAAATCGGGACACGTGGTGCAATGGAAGGCGCGAACCTAGCACTGAGAAATTCATAAAATTGTCTATATGAACTGGCCGATCACAGTGGTCGCGTTGGCTAAGGCATGAAATGTTTTCACTGGCTCGAAAGCTGGAATCGTGGGTTCGAATCCCACTTAAGTCATGGATGTTTGTCTGCGTTTTTTCTCATGAAGCGTTTCACGGATGCCCAGTGCTTAGAGTGGGAGCAACAGGAATAGATTGGATAGACGGATGGACGGATGGACGGATGGGTGGGTGGGTGCGTGGGTGCGTGGGTGGCAGGCGGGCAGGCAGATTAGATAGCTAGGTAGGTAGGTAGATGGGTAGGTGGGTGGGAGGGTGGATAAATGTAGAAGTAGATAGATAGATAGATAGATGAAGGAAAGTTCTGGTATTATCATGTCTTTATTTAGTACTACTGTGAAAATCGAATATATGAGCTACGTGTAAATACAGGAACATCCCTCAGAATTATTCGTAGTTTAACCTTGAAGTTGAGAATGCCTCTTCTGTGTTTTTACTTGCTTACTTACTTATGGAGCTGAGCCTTTCTGGAGGAGCCGCGAATTCTGCAGCTACTCAAAAGTTTCCCAGCATTTAATGGAAACCGAAGGTTGATTACCGTGTTCACAAGAGCCCTCCACTGGTCCCTATCCTGAGCCAGATCTATCCAATCCCATCCTATCTATCTAAGATCCATTTTAATATTGTCCACCCTCCTTCGCCTTGGTCTTCATAGTGGTATCTTTCCTTCTGGCTTTCCCACCAATACCCTATACGGATTCCTCGTCTCCACCATTTGTGCTACATGCCCTGCACACCTCATCCTCCTTGACTTGATCATTCTAATTATACTTGGAGAAGAGTACAAGTTCTAAAGCTCCACATTATGTAGTTTTCTCCAATCTCCTGTCGCTTCATCTCTCTTCGGTCCAAATATTCTCCTCAACACCCTGTTCTCAAACACCCTCAGTCTATGTTCTTCCCTTAATGTCAGATATTTCTGTATATTTAATTATTTAAATTAGCTTATATACTATATGTATAATCTCCTTTAGCATTATGAATTTCTACATTCTGCTCCTGTATCGTCGTTACCATCTAAGCAGCCTGTGTTCCTCTAAGCAGTATTAACCGACTGGTCTTGTAACGAAGCTAGATGTTTAAATAACATTTTGTTGAATCTAAAACTTTATAGAATATATTATTTACTGTCGCAGTGCCGAAGTATTAAATGGAATTAGGCACATATAATTAAGAAATACTACTCATTACCACATATTACTGCACCCATATTCAGTGTACAAGCAAAATTTGAAGCACAGCATAGCAGCCTACATTTAATTGTCTGTGTGATATACTATGATATATACCATATTAATAGCTGTGTGCAACTCTGCATAACAATCATACAATCATTTAATCAACAGTATTAGATATTTACAATTGTTAAATGTTTGAACATAACAGTGGACAGATTTATTATGATTAAATCTGTTTGAATTCAAAACAATATTCGAAACAAGCGTGCAATGATAATCATCTATATTTATTCCTGTAGCTGACATTCTGTGTGTCAAACTTTTGATATACGTTCTTTGTCATATCGAAGCTTTGGTCCTGGAGGGATGCTGAAACTGTATAATCGAGGACAGGAATAGTATTTCTATTTTACAAAAATTTCAATAATATACGGCATTATATATTAAACAGTATTTACCTTTACCGATTCTGCCTCGGAAGCCAGGGATATGATACAGTACACAGTAATGCGATTTGTTTTCCTTAATGACCATATTTTTTTATCCAAGATAATACAGGATAATATCTAAAAGCTTGTGACGATGATACATTAGTACATTTTTGGACATTATCCATTGTTTTATCTTTATCTAAAAACAGTCCTGTTTATTTTTCAAAACACAACATTTTCGGAGACTGGAACCTGTCTCCGTCTTTAAATAAAACATGCTCACTTGGACCGGAGATACGGACTAGCTGTATCGATTGGATCCAAATGATTAGGTTTTACCTGAAGACGGAGATAGAATTTAGTCTCCGAAACGTTGTTTTGAAAAATAAACATGGCGGTTTTTCAGATAAAGACAGGAGGATGGATAATTTCCAAAAACATATTATTTGTAATAATCCGGGATGTCGGGTAAGATGAAGAAGAAAATTAATCGAAACAGAATCTGGTGTGACGAAAGTAACCAGTGGGTATTTCCAAGTTGATAACATTCCTTGACTAATGATGATAATGGTGATGATACGATGCAAGTCCGAAGAATACCAAAAAGCTCCAGGCCCAGCGCGGCATTTTTACACTGCAACTTTGACACGTCCTCAGAGTCACAGTGCACAACAATGGAATTAGTTTCCTTTCCGCTTGATACGTGGCACGAATTCCTACCAGAAAATCTATGTCTCCTCAGATCTTTGCACCCCTCCACCTTCCTTGAGGTAGAATTTTGTTATTATCGTGAGGAGATTCATTTCTCCACTTTCTGAGATCACCTCGTTCAAACCGTCCCATGAGCAGTTTCATTTCCTGCAACAAACTTAAAGAAATTTGCAGCATGTAAGGTTCCCACAGAGGTCATTATGAAGAGTTCTGTCTTCTGGGACATAACGCCGTTCAAAGATAACTTGATGTTCCGGAGAAGTATGTCGTTTTCATTTTCAAGGTCAAATAATAAGTCAGGCAAGAAACAAATAGGAATAAACAGTAAGCTAAGATTGGCCACGATGTTCCTCCTAACTACACGAGGTTATAATCAAGGAGTCCATACCTTTCAAGCTGTTATCTTCCATTAGTTGTTGAAAGTCGTGAGGAGTGGTTCAGCGTGATTACGTAACAGCTTCTGATAATCTGCAAAAAACAAGTTAAGAAACGTAAGCAATGTATAATAATTCTGATCTACGAGTATTTGTTCTGTTACTGCTTTCACATTTTCAATTCATGAATGTCAAATTTTGATGCTGCCTTACGAACAGAAGAAAACTGATAACTTCAATTTGAAAATAATTAATTTTAAATGCTTTTCCACAATTTACATGACAGACACATCTATATATTTTTCCGTCTGTCCATCCATCCATCCATCCATCCATCTATGGCTCTACAGCCCTTTCGTTCAACTTTGACAGTTTTTCCAATTTCTTAATCCCATACACACCGGTAGGAGTCTTGGACGAGCGATCAGCCCGTTGCAAGGCCGCTTCTTATACATAGGACAACACAAACACAGAATAAACGCAAATATCCATGCCTTGAGAGGGATTCGAACTCATGATTCCAGCGTTTGAGCGAGCGGAGACAGTTCATGCCTTAGACGGTGCGGCCACTGTGATCGGCAGACAGACACATCAGGGATAAAATTATGAGAACTATAAATAAATGACAAATAATGTTTAATTTCTCACTGCAAATCTTTACAGAATATATTTAACTCCTATAAATATAAAATGAGTTACACTCCACATGCTTATGCCTCCTCGTGTAGCGTGATCGTTAACATTGTGAAATTCAAATTAATACCGAAGTGGTTCTATAATGTTCTTCAAAATTGTCCAGTGTCAATTTATAATAAAAATCTATTTTCTGAACTTGAATTATTTCATATGTTCAGACAGACAGAATTTCTATAATAGACCCTTCTTATTGCTGGAACGCGTTTAAGATGATCAAATGTATTTTCAAAGAACAGCACAACTTTGATTGTATTCAATTTGTCGGCTGAAAACCATTAATTTCAATACATATCACAAAATTAATAATGCATTTATGTGTTCTTTCTTGTAAATTTTTGCTGGAAACGAAATTAGCGAGCATTCGCTTACAATCAGGTCATGGGCCAGGAGAGCCTCCCTGAGTGGAGGGGCGAGGATGCCACATTGCCATGCATTAATGGAGGAAGATTACACCCGTTCACCTTGCGGCTAGCAGTAGCAACGTCTCATTGCGTCCTGCTTACACAACGCTCTGTTTCAACGTGTTTATGCAGTGCTGTTCCCTCATTATAAAATTTGTTGTTTAACGCCCGTGAGCTTCGGGCATAGCCTGTAATCTACTTCCACATACAGTGCACTTCTGTCACATGTGACGGTGGCAGGTCGATACAACCGAGTCAGGCCCGCGTCTGATGAGGATTGTGGCTCCGGTATTGGTATCAGATCTTTGGTTCAGTTACCTTAGCGTTTGTTTGTAGGACCGCTCTGAATCGTTGCGTGCTTCAACAGACTATTTTTCTATCGCTTATTGGTCTTTCAATCGCATCTGTGGTCTAGTGGTCAGAGTTCCTGGCTACAGATCCAGAGGTCCGGGTTCGTTTCCCGGCACTACCACATTTTCTGAGAAGTAGTGGGTCTGGAACGGGGTTCACTCAGCCTCGTGATAATTGAGGAGCTATTTCAAGGAAATAGCGGCTCCGGTCTATAAAACCGAAATTAACGGCCGTGGGGATCCGTTGCGCTCCCCACGCGACACCCTCTATCCGCTAGATTTGGCACTAACTTCGTCGGCAAGCGGCGGTCGCTCGGTCGGTATATTTCGCCTGCGGACTCAAGCCACGGAGTTTGTTTTGTTTACTGGTCTTTCAATATTTCTGCCTGCAGTAGGACGATATTAACAGATTTATTTATGAACTCGGTAACTATCCATTCCAGTGGAGCTGAGATGGCTCAGTCGGTACAGCGACTGTCTACGGGCTGGACGACCGAGGGGTCGGAGTCCTGGTAGGGTCAAGAATTTTTATCTTGTCCACGTCGTCCAGACAGGCTCTGGGGACCACCCAACCTCATAGCCAGTGAATACAGGGACTCTTTCCCAGGGGGTAAGACAGCAGGACGTGAAGCTGACAACTCACCTAGAAATAGTGCCGAGGTAATATAACGTGGATCTATACATCCACTCCCCCATACATCTTCATGGCATAGTGCTTAATTAGTTAAGCACTGGGACAACTTTACGTTTATAGTAAGGTAGTAATTTAAGAAGACCCTTCAATCTCTCCTCCGAACTACTAAGGAGTGTCCTTCGAACCAAAGTTGTATGTACGCTTGCTGTTTTGCAGCGCGTGTTCTAAGTCTAGTTTATTCTATTTTTATTACTGTAAGTCTAGTCCCTTCTATGCATATGCTGTATCTAATTCCTTGTATATTCTGGCAAGTGAACACGACCACAAAAAGTATCTGCGACGTAGTTTCAATTCGCTTCATTAGTGAACCAGTTAATTGGTGACTTGGTGACTGGTGTGTCTGTTGCAGATGATGTACCATCAGGAGCTGCGTAGAACAATGCGCCCGCCACGCCTGGGATAGCGCAAACATGAAGAGGATCTCTCTTCTGACAATGGCAATGCAGATCGTCACTTGCATCACGACAGGTAAGCAGGTGCATGTGCCATCCCTACTACTCATTTATACACAACGTTTAAATTTGCTGGGAATGAAGGCAGTATTTTGACGTAAAATAGAGTAAGTATCAGAAGAGTATTATCTTGTGGGATGTGATGTTGTGTAGTCTAGCACAATATTACTGACGTTTCGGAGTTCTGTACCTCCTAAATTTCCAACAGAATGCTCATTCTTGTTTGTCTCCCTTACTATTTGACCCTAAAAATGAAGACAGTATATTGCTGGTCACAGTAGTCGAGCGGTTGTAACCGATTACTCATTTTTAGTAATATACTTCGCCTAATTTATGCATACCTTCAATTTTTGTAACTCTTATATTTTAACAGAACTTAAATTATGAGTTTGGGAGAATTGCGTACATTATTACGCACTATAAATTGCCGTGAACTATGTATTGAAAGGCCGGTCACGGTAGCCGAGCGGTCTAAGGCATGCACTGTCTTCGCTCGCTCGGAAACGGAGATCGTGGGTTCGAATCCCACTCAGGGCATGGATGTTTGTGTGCGTTTTTCTGTGTTTGTCTACAGGTAGAGGCCTTGCGACGAGCTGATCACTCGCCCAAGGAGTCCTACCGTATGTGTAAGATCTATTAAACCGAAGTGAAACGGAGAGTTTCATGGAGGTAGGCCTAGGCCCAAATTGGGGCTGTAGCGCCACAGGAAAAAAATGTATTGAAAGAGGATGACGAAATGTCTTGTGACTCATGCGAAACTCGTGATTTAATTCTTTCTTTGTTTTATGATGGCTGATGTAAGCCCAAGGGGTAGGTAGCTATGGTCTTTAAAGTGGTACTTCCCACCAACAGCCAATCAGCTTGCTGAAAAGGTAATATGACATCATACTGACGCTGAGATGTCGATATATAAAGCACTCTGTCCAGAAGAGACGCTAAATAGCTTCCGAACGGTGAAGACATGTCCATGTACGTTCCGTTTTTCACAAAAGGAGGACAAAGAACTGTATACAGATTTATATTCAAGTGTAACAAAATTGTAGTTACAACTCATTAAATAAAGTGTGTGTGAGTGTTAAGGTTCGGCCACACAGAGCGCTACGTACGCTACGTACGCCATGTTCCCTATGTTAGCTGCCTCGCAGTGTACACAGCGTACGTAGCGAACATAGCGTAGCGCTGTATGTGGCCGAACCTTTATGAAGTTGTTGTGGTTTCGTTGACCGTCTTTGCTGAAGCAGGCCCACTTAACGGCCCTGGTGATAGTCCCATGTTTCCCGACTGAGTGGCGCCCAACAACTATCAAGGTGAGGCAACATAATGAACAACTGCCACAGAATCGCTAACAGGTGATTTATCAGTGTGCAGCTGTGTCCACCTTTACTCTTCGCAGAAGGCAGCTACGGCCAACTTTGCCCTTCACTGGCCAACATCAACGCCCTACATAAGAGACTGCCGGCAATACAGTCTTAAGGCATGCACAGTCTTCTCTCGCTTGGAAGACTGGCCCGTGGGTTCGAATCCCACTCAGGGTATTCATGTTTCATATGTGTGTGTGTGTGTGTGTACGTTTGTCTGTGTTTATGTACAGGTAGAGGCCTTGAGACGAGCTGATCACCCGCCCAAGGAGTCCTACCGAATGTCTAAGATCTAGAAAAACCGAAGTGAACGGAGAAGTTCATGGAGGTAGGCCAAGGCCCATATAGAGGCTGTAGCTCCAAAGGAAAAAAAATGTAGGTAAATTTGTACCAGATTACACGGCGTCACAACTCAGAAGATGGTATTTACTTACTCATGGAGCTGAGCCCTTCTGGAGGAGCCGCCAATTCTGCAGCTACTCAAGAATTTCCCAGCAATTTATGGAACCAGAAGGTTCATTACCGTGTTCATAAGAGCCCTCCACTGGTCCCTATCCTGAGCCAGATCTATCCAATCCATACCATCCCATCCTGTCTCTCTAAGATCTATTCTAATATTGTCCACCCACCTTCCCTGTGGTCTTCCTTGTGGTCTCTTTCCTTCTGGCTTTCCCACCAATATCCTATACGCATTCCTCGTCTCCCCCATTCGTGTTACATGACCTGCCTACCTCATCCTCTTTGACTTGATCATTCTAATTATAACTCAGAAGATGGTACTATTCATAATTATTGCCGTTTAAAAAATATAAATTTTCAATTGCAATATTTTTATTATTAGAAACATTACAATCTGTACTTATTACTAATTACTTTTAAGAATAAATACATTATTCCTGTGAGTAAATAAACATTATAATTGGGTGGTTCAAATGAAGGGTAATGAGGTAGGCGGGTCAGCAGCGTGCATGGGAAGATGAAAATGTACTACATTTCAATTGGAATACTTCATCTGAAACTATCACTTCCCTAACCTAAGCGTTTGTGGGAGAGGTGCCAGGATAGCTCAGTCCGTATCGCGACGGGCTACAGGCTGTACTACCGAGAGGTCGGAGTTCGCGTCCCAGTAGGGTCAAGAATTTTCTTTTTTCCACACCGTTCAGACCTGCTCTGGGGTTCACCCACTCTTTATTCATACGTACGTGGGGCTTTTTCTTCTGGAGTAAAGCGGCCGTGGCGTCAAGCTGACCACACATCTCCAGCTAGCGCCGAGGTCAAGAAAACATGAGTCTATACATCCACACATGGCGTAGTGCTTAATTAGTTAAGCACAGGGACAACTTACTTTAAACTTTGGTGGGAGGAAATTAGTAAAACAAATCTTAGAGAAATTTTATGTGAACTGGATTCAGGTATGTGAGAATGGAGTCTGGCTTCATGATGTTGTGCACGCGATAATGAACCTTCAGGTTCCTTATAAGATCAGAAATTCAATAACCTTCTGGGCTTGAGTCAGCTTCTAAGGGACTCGACTGGAACTACCAGATTAGAATGTTTGTTTGCAAATATGATGATCTCTGACTTAATATTCAATGCNCCCAGTTGAACTCCACCCCCCACTAAGAAAATTAAAAAAAAATATTCAATGCACCTGACCAGCATGTGATGTTCTTTACATGTTGAAACGTCGGTACCGCAAAAGCAGAGCGTCTGTTCATGATGTAGGAGAGAAGCTATAGTAGCAACAGAGTTGTCTGATACGACCCGTAGGTAGTGCTCTGAAGTATTGGGTTCCCGGCATATATATATATATATATATATATATATATTCAAAGATGTACTTTGTGCCGTATTGCATATAATGGTGCGGCTAAAAGGGGGCCGATGCCACTCCATACAACAAGGGATAATGTGGCATGAATAATGACACAGATGTCGCTGAGAACAGCAAGGAAGAGGGAAATCTGTGTGACACACTGAACATCCATCACACTTCCTACGCAGAGCATCGATCCCCAGAACCCAGCTCAGCAAGCTTATAAAAACGATTTTTCAACTATTCTTTCATAAAGCAGCATACCAGGGCTTGGTAGATGTTTCCGCTTCGTCTATAACGCACAATACCTTGAGGCTAAAGAAGGAGCCATTAAACATTCAATTAATTACTTCTCACGTTGCTAATGACGTCACATGAAGTGGATATGCGTAACATGTCAGGTATAATGGGTTATACCACCACAATCACTACTCTGGAGAGTTAATGGCAGCGGTAGGAAGATAGAATGAATTATGGGAAAGCGAAAGAACACGGTGAAAGGCTTTCAAATTGCAGTTCATGTCCATTAAAATGCGTCTGTTTAAATATTGCATCCACTACGCATAGCTTCGCTTCAGATAAAGAGCAAAAACTTGTAGTGGAGTTGCGTAAAGAATTTTCGAAGATCAAGACTCTTCCATTCCTATTGCTAGCGTTGGGGAAGGGGTGCCAGCAGGCAGGTTATGTTGGTAGAGGTGGGGGAACACATTTACCTCTCCTAGCAAATCTTATCCCCACCGACCTCGATAATACTTTGGCCGGATTAACTATAGTTACACTCCTTTCCTGCCACAAGAATCTCCCAAATTATGTGTACTTTTCTCATGGAAAATTATATTCTTATCCTTTAACATATACGCTGGGGCCACGCAATAGATCAAGCGGTTAGTCGCTGGCTCTCCACCGCGGCGGCCCGGGTTCGATGCCGGGTCTGGTCATGTGGGACTTGTGGTGAACAAAGTGGCGCTGGGTCAGGTTTTCTCCGAGTACTTCGTTTTCCTCTGCCAATCTTCATTCCACCAATTGCTCCACAATCACCCTCACCTATCATCTGGGGCTGTTACAATAGGCCAGAAGTGGCCGCATTACAAGGGACTTAGTCCCACCCCACTAGCAATAAACAAAATACATACACGCTGTGATACTGTGATGGAATAGTCAATTGCTAGACAACGGCTCGCTTCGAGCACGTTTCGTAGCAACGAATATGCTTGCAGAAATCAAAGCGTTGCCATGATATAGATAGACAGACGTCCAGTTTTACGAATATTTACGAATATGAGCAATCACTCGCTGACTGACTGACAAGGGGGTGGGGGTGTCTTTCAGCTTGGGGATGGGGGTAAATATGATGTTACAGAATGTAATACCGAGCCTCGAACTTAGATTGTTGAAGAGAGGAAACCACGCTGAGAAAGAAGCAGAGATATGACGGAGATAAAAACTCGTGGATGTGGCACGAAATGGGGACCAGTGGCGGCTTGTATTGAACACAACAATGAATCATCGGATTCTATTAAAGATCGCAATATCCTGAAGAGATGAGAGGTTATTGGCTTCTCAAGACGGACTCTGTTCCGAATTTTCAGTTTTATGGTTTAGGAATTCGTGTATGTTGTTACTCTTCATTACACCCTGCAGAGTTATGAATGGAGAGTGAGTGGTGCGATCTAAAATCGCTAAACTGGATCATTACGGATGAAGAGACCACCAGCACCCTCTGTCGGTTATGGGCTGTGACATGCAGTCACTGAAAAGGTTTAATTCGCCGTGTTCTGTAACGGATAATTGTAATGTTCGGCTCTATGGTCCTTGTGCGTGTTCAAATCGAATTGTGTACCA